GGAATTCCACGCTATTTACCCAAGTTATTGGGCTTTGACTAAAAGTGTGCGGATTAAGCTAAACCAGCCACAAGATATTCGAATTTCGACCTAATTCTATGTGGCGTCACTTGCCCCTTCCACGTTAAGGAATTTGAGAGCTCTATGTAATCGACTCTATTTCGGAGAAAATGTGTACCGAGCAGAGTGGTCTAGCTTTAAAGTTCCAAATATGTATTCTTGAGGTGCTCGGTTCGAGTCTAGAACGAGACACTGCTTATAAATAATTGACTGATTGTAACTTCTGAATGCTGAATTGTAAATTATTTATAAAGAAATCATCATGGGTCAATCTACGTCTCATCCCGATGTCTGCCTCGAGAAAACCACAAATATTTTCAGAGTAGTTTCGGATAATAGCATGATTAGTAAGAAATAATTAATTGGAAGAGTAGGAGGGACCGATAGTAGCCAAACTGAGGTGTTATTCTGGCATTCGCTTGGATGGATAAAGGAAACTTGTCAGAAAATTCTGTGTCCGTGGCAAGGTTCGGTAAGTCCCGAATACGCATCAGAGACGTGGCCACTTGAGCCAACTTGCTCGGCAAAAAAGGTAAAGTTGTCCCTGTGCTAAACGAATTAAACACTGTGACATGAAGACGTATGGGATTGTGAATATATACAGATCCATGTGTACTTGAACTCGGCAATAGCTAGAGGTGAGTAGTCAGCTTCACGCCCAGACCGCTTTACCCCCGGGGAAGGAGCACCTGGTACCTATTGGATAGGAGGTTGGGTGGACCCAAGAGCCCGTGTAGACTATTTGGGGAAGAGAAAATTCTTGACTCTACAGAGACTCAAACTCCGACCCCTCAGTCATCCTGCCTGTAGCCAGTCGTTATACCGACTACGCTACCGCGGCTGCTACTAGTTCGGTAATGGAACTTAAAATAAGTAAATTGTTGAGATAGATACAATTGTAAAGTTTTCCTTGTCTTAAATGAGAGTTTCTCGTGTGAAAGCTAGTGGTATTTTACATCCAGCATAGTTCACGGATCTTCCTACCGGTTGCAAAATATTGTGAAGGTTTTCCAAAATGTCTAAAGCGTCAGATGTCTCTAGGACCGGTTCATGTGCACCAGTACAAACACTCCAGATATTTCTTTAAACGTTTCTTTTTGGAAAATCTAAATGTTCTATTTTACAACATAAACCGTATAAGGAAGCTTGTTGTGTTAGTAGCTGCCTGCATACTGGATACATATGGATACTGTAATATATAAATATTGTGGCGTATTTGCTCAAAGCAAGAACTGTGAAGACAGATAAAAAACCGTTGCTAGGTAATGGCCCGTAAACACGCAGCAGAAGAACACGTCAAGTACACTGTGACACCACGCAACAATAGAGGAAGCGGCGTTCTTTGTTGTCCGGGCCGCGCTCGTTGCTACGCAACTGTGCAGCAAACACACCTCTGCAGCAGTGAATCAACACACAACAATAGAGAAGTGGTCTGTGAGTCACGCACTCCCCTACACGTAATAGTGTAGTACAGATGGAAGAAATGTAAGTCTACTCCTGTTTGTACGGGCACATTCTGTTTATTCATAATTCTGAAGCGAATTATACTGTTACGCGAAGTGAGGCCTGAAATGTGATGAAATACAACGGTGAAGAAGGAACAGAAAATTCGTAAAACAATGTGAGAGAAATAAGTAAGCTGTGGTGTTAAGCCGCGCCATAGCTCAAGCGGTTAGTCGCTGGCTTCCCTCCGCGGCGGCCCCGTTCGATCCCGGGTCTGGTCAAGTGGGATTTGTGGTGGACAAAGTGGCGCTGGGACAAGTTTTCTCCGAGTACTTCGGTTTCCCCTGCCAATATTTATTCCACCAATTGCTCTACAATCACCCTCACCTATCATCTGGGGCTGGTACAATAGACCAGAAGTGGCCGCAGTACAAGAGACTTAGTCCCACCCCAATAGCATTAAATAGAAATAAAAGAAAAAGCTGTGGTATTGAAAATTGCAAATAATTTCCAACAATGTCAAGACACCTCATTGACATAAATGTAATTGAAATTTACCCCACGATGTACGGCTCACGGCCCATCATTCTGGTGTCAGAATTATGTCAGTGCTCTTTAAACGCGCAGGCCTCCATCATACAGAGCTCTGGAAAAACTGAAGACGAAATAATCACGTCGGAATCAGAGGCTTAGATTTCTGTCTATCTATTTGTCCCTCTACAGCCCTCCGTTGGGCCTTGGCCGCTTCCGGTTTCTTAATCCTATACACAGTCGGTACGACTCGGTCTAGTTGGACGGAGCGTCAGCCCGTCACAAGGCCGCTACATAGGCCTCGATTACAGACAATATTGTAAAACAAACCTTAAGGAAAACTCGGATAATATGGGCTGAATTAATCTGGAACAGCATAGGGATCAGTGGCGGGCTCTTGTGACCACAGTAATGAACCTTCGAGTTTAATAAAAGACTGAAAACTATACTGGATAGCCAAGCGACTATTAGCGTCTCAACGACCCTGAGTTGTATAGTTAGTTCGTATGTGACGAAGGAAGAGAAGCGGCTAACAAATTCCATGATTTTTGATGTCGTGGAAAAATGTGACTTTTAGAGATGACTGATGACGGATAGCGCCTGAACACGTTGCACCACTACTGAGACGCCAAGAGTTGCAGAAAAATGCAGACTTCAAGTTCAGAACAATCAGGAAACCAAATTCTTGAAAACCGAAAGTAAATGAGCAACTTAAATGTATTTACTTTTACGATTTCTGGTGTTATATCTCAAGCAACTAACTGTATACTGGCATACGCGCCTTCAAAAAATGCCTTTCCTACAGTAATTGACTTTACTGACACAATTTGCTTTCCTGTTGTTATTTACGTGTAAAACAAAGTTTAAAATCGAACTCTGCCTTCATCCTTGGGCAAAAGCCTATATGTTTAGATCGAAACGGTAGAGCTAAATCCTGCCTCCGGAACAAATAAATACCATGATGGATAAAAAGGTAAAGTAAAGTTGTATCTGAGCTTGACTACTTAAGCACTACGCCATGAAAGCATACTGCGGAGTGGGTGTATTTATCCATATTTTCTTGACCTCAACACTAGTTGGAGGTGAGTGGTCAGCTTCACGCCCCGGCCGCTTTACCCCCGGGAAAATGGCCCCCAGTACCCGTAGAATTTGAACTGGGTGGACCCCAGAACCGGTCTGGACGACTGGGAGAGGAAAAAATTCTTGAACCTACCGGGACTCGAACTCCGACGCTTCGCTCGTCCAGCCCATTTCCAGTAGCTACAGCGACCACGCTATCCTGGCTCCATACGAGGATGGCTACTGTTCACTCTCACAGGCTTTTAAATGTTATGTATGTTGAAGAAACAATTACACAAAATGTAAATGACTGTGCAACAGCTAACTGCGCCGTGGATAACACAGTAACTCAGCTAGCGTGTGTTCTGGCAGGGGGCACCGGGTTCGAATATTTGTGTTTTTGCACAACTATCTGGGATTTATTCCATCTTTCCATGCGAGTCACATGATAGAATATTTAAATTAGACGCTCCCTCTACCCTCTTAGAGAGATACGATGGAATGGAATGGATTGGATTGATCTGGCTCGGAATAGGGACCAGTGGAGGGCTCTAGTGAACACGGAAATGAACCTTCGGGTTCCATAAAATGCTGGGAAGTTCTTGAGTAGCTGCACAATTGGCGGCTTCTCAAGAAGGGCTCAGCTCCATGAGTCAGTGAGTGGGCTCCATCTTCCCGCTTTATAATATGACCCACATATGTCAACCGCATACAAAGAGTCCTTTGAAATATTACGTTTCACAATGAGAGACGTTCTATACTTGACGCTAAAAAGATGTGTGCTTTGTTATCCGTTAAATTCTCGTGAGCTAATGCATCTATAAACCCACCGCGCTGCAACTAGCTCGCCGGCAGCTGCGAGAATAGGCAGCAAAGTTAGGAAAGTGATCATACATAATTATATTGTGCTTTTCTTCGGCCTGCTAAGAATATGCTTTCAGTGTATAATTATTATTTTTTTTATTATTGCTACTGGGGTGGGACTAAATCTCTTGTACTGCGGTCACTTTTGGCCTATTGTACCAGCCCCAGGTAATAGGTGAGGGTGATTGTGGAGCAATTGGTGGAATGAAGATTGACAAGGGAAACCGAAGTACTCGGAGAAAACCCGCCCCAACGCCACTTTGTCCTCCACAAATCCCACTTGACCAGACCCGGGATCGAACCAGAGCCGCCGCGGTGGGAAGCCAGCGACTAACCGCTTGAGCTATGGCGCGGCCTCTCAGTGTATAACACATCCAGGGCTGTGTGTCTAGTAAGGGGGTCAGGAGTTACACACAGCTGATATCTAAGCCTGTCACTGACTATGATGCTAAGCCACTTCCACGCACTTCATATCTTTGTAATTTATTTCAGTATCCTCATTTCTAATATTACACTCCTCTTTCTTGTTCCGCTAGTCAGTTCCTGTCCGAGAGGATTCCTCGTCAGAAATGTTCGTTTCCCCTAACCGAGCCACACGTACATTCCACTAATACGTAATCATTTGTAGGTACTGGTATATTTGCTACTAGGTCAGTCTTCATGACTGTCTTAGCCACAAGTTTATGCTCATCTCTTTTTCAGGCATTTTTGCTTAGCTAGGCCTTTATCAGCATTAGAAAAAATTAATCAGTTACATGTGAATGACAGATTCTTTACAATTATTTCATATTAATGACAGTTATTTGTTTTAAATTAAAATGTGCACTGGTTCAGAAAATTAAAACCACAGAATAAAAGTACTGTCATCGGTAATCGACATGTGTATACAGAATGCCAGTCTGTATTGTGTAAAAACTGGTAATAATTAAACGCTCCTTCAACTTGTTTAAAAAAATTTATAGCTCTAACACAAACTTGAATCAAAATTAAGTATATCGTCCAAAATTTCAATGCATTAAAAGGAATAAAGCGTCGATACTCACCACAGGATAATTTATCTGTTCGTAGTGCAAATACCAGACGCGCCGGATTAACGAAACGGTTGAATCTTCACAGTTCGGTCCCTCGAAATTTACCACACACCTTCCTTCACTCGTCGGATACTGGAGACATAAAATGAGAGAAGACTTTTCGAAAGGGAATATATGTCACTAGCAAGATTTTTTTTTTCCTTCCACCTGCAAGTACTCTTTGAAATTGTCCACCAATCGTTTCACGTCCTGACAGAGAAGATCGGATCAGTGACTGTTGGAAGATACAACGATGCAGCCGTTTTTATGAAGGGTGGAGAAAGGAGTGGGGTGGGGAATGAGGACTGATGCTACGTCACTCTTCAAGATGTCGGTCACAGTACTTGCAAGTTTTGAGACCTCCTGAGGGCACGTCTGTGGGAAAGAAGTGCAAGATATTTCTTAATCAAAGCATTGCTAATACCGCATTAATAAGGAAATGTTACATTGTCTCTCTTTATAATGTTCCATGTGAATGATACACTGCTCTGAAATTAGCATGTCCTTTGTGCTATCGACAAAATCAAGTTCGCAAAACCTTACTCGTGACAAAATGTAAAGGTGTTTCTAGACTGCCATTGCTCAGGCGGTTAGTCGCCGAATTCCTACCACGGCGGCCCGGGTTCGATCCTAGGTCAAGTTATGTGGAATTTATTTTGGACAAGGTGTCTCTGGGCCGGTCACGGTAGCCGAGCGGTCTAAGGCATGTACTGTCTTCGCTCGCTTGGAAACCGGGATCGTGGGTTCGAATGCCATTCAGGGCATGGATGTTTAGTTTGTGTGTGTGCGTTTTTCTGTGTTTGTGTACAGGTAGAGGCCTTGCGACGAGCTGATCACCCGCCTAAGGAGTCCTACCGAATGTGTAAGATCTAGAAAAAACGAAGTGAACGGAGAAGTTCATGGAGGTAGGCCTAGGACCACTGGGGCTATAGTGCCAAGGAAAAAAGAAAGTGTCTCTGGGGCAGGTTTCCTTCTACGGTTTCGCCCAACAATTCTCATTACAAACCAATTGTTCCATGCTCATCTATCATCCTGGGCCGCTACAATAGGACAATTAGTGGCTGACATACGAAGTGGACTCACTCTCACCCAACCCCGTGAATCTTTAAGAAAAAAAGGGTTTTATACTGAACCATGTGCCTTTTGCCAAACGAATTCTTGTTTGAAACCACATAACCTTATAGAGTTGCATTACGGGCCCTATTTACGTCGGTTCTTATATTACTGAAGACACGCTTCTGTTAAAAGGAAGGCTCCTCGTAAAGTAACATCCCTCAAATGAAGTAATTAAATTGCGTCATATATTCTCTGATAATATTAAGGATATTATGTAACATTTTAGTTTTTCACAACGGTGATTATAAATAATGCCTTCTTCTCAGATGTTGCGCTGTGTAGTTCTTGTGAACCGATGTTTCGGAGCAGCCACCTGCTCACGCTGGTTCCTCGATCGCGGGTTTGTCTACCCTGAAAAAGAAGCAATAAGTTCCTCCGAAACGTCGGTTCACACAAGATCTACACGGCGCCACATCCCTGAATACTGCATTCTTTATTAGGTGTAGTGTTTGATGAATTAAGATCTCGCTGTTACAGCACTGATTAGTGACGACGTTGTGAAAGTGAAAATTCCAAATTAAACCTTGTACCTACGCCATTTCGTGATAATAACGTTCCTTGTGTATCAGATATCAGATATCTCCGGAGGTTCATTTAAAGTAAAAAAGTAAAGCCAACCCCGTACCAGGCCGTGAAGGCCCATAGGGTTGCGAGACGTTGAGGGTCCCACAGTATCTAGACAATCGGCTCAAAGATGGCGGTAAGATTGTCAGCCCTACGCGCAGGCCGCGCTTTACTCCCCAGGAAATTATTTAATTAATTCCTGGTACTCATTTCTGTTAGAGGCTGAGTAAACCCCAGGGCCTATTGCGGCTGGAAGGGTTAGGTTAATTGATAAAAATCCAATGATCTCATCGGGACTTGAACCCGCGACCTTCCGGCTTGTACGAGAACAAATTTCAATACATATGCGTTACGTCCTTCATGTTACCAATAAGAAAAATCAGAGAATCGAATTCGTTCAAGAAGGAAAGTTAGTAATGCTAAGGCAGAAGCAGGCTACGGCAGCCTGACCTTTCCGTCGCGGTCGAATGCACTAGAAACAAAAGAACGGGAATATCAAAGTAACTGTTGAGGGAGCCTCCCACCGTGTCAAAGTCAAAGTCACATTGCGACTATGGGTCAGTCAGTCTTTCTGTCTTGGTGTCGAGCCACGGCTTCTTGTATGAAAATTACTGTCCTGTCCTTGTGATGCGCCCTCTCTCACGAGAGGTCGGGTCTGACATTTATCAGTCATAGTCGACCGTATTAAGTATGTACACTTATTTACAAGTTTATTCCTATGTACAATATATACAAGGCCTCTGTCAGTCCAGGCTCAGTACAGCAGACTATGCCCTATTTCTAGTAGTATTCGTTACAACGGCAGTCTAGTCACTTAAACGGTCTGATGCCTGACAGACACCAAGTTTAAGCCCCATACTTTGTATGTCGGGCTTCGCCTTGTCTAAAATTGCGAACATTCTCATTTTCATGATTTTGTATGACTTTTGCTTGTTTCCTACATAATTTTGTTATATAGTCATATACGTACGGGATTTTGAACGCCACGTGCAAATCTCGGACCGGTGTGTGCCTTGGAAAATTGCCAGTGGTGCGGAGAACCTTGTTTTGCAGGCGCTGCAATTTCACTAGATGAGTGTCTGCCGCAAACTCCCAGGCGGGACTAGCATAAGTCATTACGGATCTAATAAGAGCTTTATGTAGGGTCAGTTTAATGTTAGCGCTCAATCGCTTACTTTTCAATAAGGAATACATTATAATAAATGTTTCGAAGGCCTTGGCTTCGATCTTTTCTATGTGCAATCTCCTTGTAACTCTCCTATCGAAGATTTACACCGAGATATTTTACATTATTTACAAATGGAATATTTCGTCCATTTAGCGTAAGAGAAAACTCAGGCCGTCGATATCCACAAGAGAAGTAGACCCCCCGAGTCTTATCTTCACTAATTTTAATATTTCAGTGCTCACACCAGGTCTCCATTGAGCTGAGACCGCGCTGGATTTTTCTGACAGTAAATCCCTCCTTGCGATCTGTCGCATACAGACAGGTATCCTTCGCAAAGAGGGCCAGGTGAACACCATGTGTTTGGGGGGCATCATTTATGTACAAATTCAAAAGAGTAGGGGTACAGAACCGAGCCTTATGGCACCTCTGCTTGCATTTCCCTTAGCGCTGACATTTCGCCTTCAACCGAAATTCTAAATTTACCTTGACCAAATAAGCGTGGTCAAACTTTTCGAAAATTTCAATTTAGATAACTTATAGAGCAAGCCGGGGTGTCATGTGGTATCAAGGCTTTTTCGGTATCCAAAACACCGCGACCGTAGACATTTTATTGTGTTGGTCCGCCAGCCACATACATTGCAATGTCGTGCTGTGACGTGCACAGAAACCAAATTGGCTTGCGCTGAGCAGGCCTCTTTCTTCAATATGATTTTGGAATAATTTCAAAATCAGTTTTACGAATGGTTTTCCTGTTGTGAACAGGAGGCTAACCGAACGTAATTTTTAAGGTCTTTATCGGGCTTCGGTAGAGTTGTTACTTTTGCTTCCTTCCAAGGATTTGGAAAATGTGAGAGCCGAAGACAATTACTGGATAAATGGTTTAGGGGAACCAATGGTCGTCTTGAAAGGTGTCTGAGGCATTCATTTGAAATGCCATCAAATTCCATAGGCCTTTCTCAGTTTCAATTAATTTATTACTTTCTGTACGTCACATGTTCGGATCCTTTGAGGAGGGTTGTCGTCTACTGTTCCCAGCAGAGCTTGAACTCTAGCCTCCATCCGCCGTTCATTGTTATCGTCGCACAGGTCATGCGGCGTGAACTGAATTTCCAAACAGTCGGCAATTGCATTGGCTTTTCCGAAAGGATGGAATTAAAGGCCTGAAGAACTATGAATAGCAGTTGGTGCCCTTGGTCCGTCTCTCTTTAAGAGAGATTTCGCAATGGGCCATATACCCAGAGGTGTGACTTCAGCGTTATCTATTTTTGTTTCCCACCGTTCAAGTGACTTTTTTACGGGACAGTCGCCTGATTGATTTGGTGACCCAGTGACTGCCGTTTTACACGCTGGATTCCTGGTTTCTTGCAACAATTTTCGTAGCCTCTCCTTATGCTTTAACAGATGATCTAGACCAGCAAGATCGTTGTTTATATCCGAAAATGTAACTTTACTTGTCGGAACCTATATGCCAAAACAATAGAGGCTACAAAGTCGCGTGCGGCTTTATCGGCTTCTACCCCCGGCTTAATTTCGATTTTAGGTTATATTAATTCAAAGGCGCGCGGTCTAAGGCATGAACCATCTTCGCCCGCAAGAACATTGGGGTTTTTGAGTTTGAATCCCACTATAGGCTTAGAACTCTATGTGCGTTTATTCTGTGTTTGTTTTTCTTCTGTGTACAGGTAGCGCCTTGCGACGGGCTGATCCCCCACCATGCAGTCCTACCGACTGTGTATAGGATTAAAAAACTGAAATTAGCGGCCAAGGTCCAAAGCGCTGTAGAGCCATAAAGAAGAAAAAAATGATCGGCAAAAAGGTAAAGTTGTCCCTGTACTTAAGCTAGCTGAACACTATGCTATGAGGCGTATGGCTGGTTTACAGACAGCTATGCTAAACTAATTACCGTAGTAACACCGCTCTTATCCAACCCGCCATTGTTTATATCAGCTCAGTCGGAATGGCGCTATCCCTGCTACACCTGTTTCTACCTTAGGACAGTGTATGATGGCCACTGCAAGTTGTCCTCACAGATCGGTATAGGTACGGGAAACTAGCTGGGTCGGTTTGCATGAGTCTCAGGGTAGCGATGCCGCATTAATCGGTATTCTGGGAGTTGATCCAGCTTCATGTTTATTCACCTTTTTGTTCTCCAAATCACTGTTAATTTTATATACCCTTAGGCTTTAAATTATAACATGTTACTCGATCTGCAAACTATGTCTCGGAGCGCGTAAGAATCACGTCCGTACACTTCAGAATACGGTGAAAGTCTCCTTTGTGAAATGGCTTGCACACCCCACGCTGGGAATTCGAAAGAATTCGAATTCTCCATGGTGTGGACATATACATTTCATCCCATCTTCCGTAGGGAAGTTTGAACGAGACAACTCAATCATACTGGCCCTTATT